AAGTCAATATTGTGTTCTTCTGCACTTTGGCTAAGAAAATTATATTATCCCCCCGCACTTGATTCATTCTTTGTTCATTCTAAGACCTATTGCATATTTGCAATTATTTACACATTCGAAATTTAAATTAAAATATTTTCCACATTTTTCAATTTTATTTATCAAGACAAAGTCCCAATCAACCTTTTCCCCCTTTCCCCCCACTTAACTGAGAAATGTCAGTTCCCATTTCAAGTGGATTCGTTATAAGTAGCCTTTTTCTAGCACCACTTATGCTCAAATGACAAAGACTTCATGTAGCCCAGCCTTCTCTTCAGCCTGTGACTGGCAGGCCTGGCTGCACATTAGAATCACTCGTGGAGTCTGTTAAATGTTACTGAACCCAGAACCCTACCCCAGAATGATTAATTAGGAATCTTTGCTGGTGGGGCCAGAGCGAACATGTGCCAGGTGATGAATCACTGCCCACACCTCTCCCTGCATATGCTGAGGCTGGGACAGACAGTTGAGTGACTGGGAAACGGAACCGGGCACTAGGGCCTGGATCTGGGAGGGGGGTACCTCTGAGGGACAGCTGCATGGTAGGGAGCAGGCACAAAGTACAAGCGGTGAGTTAGTCTCCCCTCTTGGTGCAGACATTGTGCCCTCTACCCCTTTAGCACTCTGGCTGTGTGGCCCGCTCCTCACCTCTCTTCCCTAAGCCCAAGGCCAAGAGCCTGGCTCTAATCTCATGATATGCAGTCACACAAAAATTCTAGTGCTACATTACATGGCCAGATACACAGTGCCAAGTTATCTCGTGGGACTATGGTGGTTTATCTCTTACTGCTGTTTTCCTTGCAGCCTGCACAGTTCCTCACACACAGTCATTAGTAGGTATGTTTTAAAAGAATGGATGACTAAGTTGAACGTGGAAAAGATGCAAAAAGCACCACCATTAAGGTACAAAGGAGTGTTAGAAAAGTACAGGAGCGGGGTTGCTTTCAGTTTGGAAAAGGCGGAATGTGGGAGTCTTCATAGCGGAGGGGGCATTTGAACTGGACTTCAAAACTCGGGAAGGCAGTGAATGGCAGAGATGGAGAATAGGCATTCCAGGCAGAAGAAACAATGTGAGCCAAGGGAGGGAAGAGTTTGAGAAGGGACTGAGCTCAGTGGATGAGCTGCCAGTAGGCAAATGTGGCTGGAATACGCTAACACAAGCAGGTGATTGCCTCCGGTGCAGGGTCCGAGAGAGCTGCTAGGGTCAGAATCCAAAGGGTTGACACTTGATTCTACCGGCAGTGTGTAACCATCTGATGTTTTCAATTGTGGGTGTAATGTGTTGGCTTTAGGGAGATGAATGTGTACTTTACAGCAGTAGTTCTTTCACAAAACCTCTCTGGAGTGTCTCTGGAGTGCATGGCTCTGTGCCAGGAGGAGGGACAATGGGAGTTGGAGCCACTGAAGCAAAGATTGGTTGGTAGGACATTGTGGGGCAGACATGAGATCCTGAGGGCCTGAAGCGGCTGATTGATTAGGGGCAGGGTGGGAGGGCATAGAAGGAATTGACCTGTATTACAAAGAATTCAGTGTCCAAATAAGTAGAGGCGAAGGAAAGGGAAAAAAGACTAAGCGATTAATGATGATAATGATCATCAGTATGTGAGCAGCCCCTTTGTGCCAGCTGTTATGCCAAGTGCTTCATGTGCATTCCCTAATTCTCACAAGAACCCTGTTCATAGAGGAGGGCATCAAAGAAGTCACAGAATTTGCACGAAGTCACATGAGGAGAGGATGGTATTTCTAGACTTTGAATTCCTATGCTCTGGCTATAGAGGCCATGCCCTAACCTCTAGGCTACACTGTTTTGGGGGGACTTGGGGAGCCTGTGTATTCTTGGCAAAGGAATTCAGCTGCTCAGTGAGGATATAATTCATGCTCTTTCTTTTCATTTTGTTCTAGCAGCTTCCTGAGGGCACTTCATGGGGTCAGGGAGAGGGTGGTTAAGAAGTTGTGGGGGGGACTGGTGAAGCCTCCGGGAGAGATCAGGTAGAGAAGCTAGAACCAAACGCTGTGATCAAGGTGGACAACTGGTAACCCCCAGACCATATGGGGCCCACACACGTTTATCCACACAGTAGCCTGTTTGTTTAGACTTAAGCCAACATTCAGAAATTAGAGGAAAAAAATCCCAAATCCTAACTTCCCTTGACACTGAGATATTGCGGTGCTGGAACTCCATTCCTGTGAGACAACCCTGGGCTTGAGCTGCTCCCGCAGCTACCCTGGCAGTCTCACTACTCGATACTGGAGCCTGCGCTTCTCCTCAGCCTGGCCCACTTCACACACTCACTCAATCACTCGCTCACTCTCATCTGTCTGACCCAGGTGGGAGGGTGAGCCTGTGATCCCTTGTCTAGATGGCCTACTGTGGGGTTTCTTTGTCCTGTAGTTTGCACCAGCAGGTGGGGTACAGGATCAGCAACATCATCTGTCCCACCCTTCCTCCAAGTCATAGTCTGACAGCCAGAGCAGCCCTGGACTCCACAGAACAAAATCATGAAGGGAGGGTTATCATCAAGTCTTACCATTTATTTCTTTATGGGGTTAAACAAGAGCAGAGAGGCCTCTGCCCCACAATGCAACAAAACAGAAAGCAGTACACATACAGAGACTCTCACTGAAACACAGAGGCAGGAAAGGGGAGGGTAGAGACAACTGAATTGTAGCAGGGTGAGGGAGGAAGGGACAGGGGACTACTAGGAATCCAGCTTGGAGACTCAGTCATAGGAACTAGTGCAAGAAAGTCCTACTCATGAAGCACAGTGTAGAAAATGGCATAAGAAAGCTGTCCCGCTCTGCTGCCTGTGGCGGAGCAGGGGCAGCCAGAGGGTGGTGGAGGGTCTGGGCAGTGGGGTGGACAGGGACAGTCAAATGACTTTGAGGTGGAGTGAGGTGCCCCTTTCCCCTGCCACTGGGCAAGGCCCTGGGCTGGTCTGAGCCAGGGGTCTCCTGGGCACTTGGTGAGGGGGAAGAGAGGATGGGAGTCTCCAAGGGTCCATTCCCTGGGGCCCTAAGGTCCCCCTTTACTTGCCAGTCCCTTTTCCCCTCCTGAGGATGCAGGAGTTTGAAGGCAATACCTAGGGTCTCATGTCTACATAAGCATCTCTGGAAATGCGCCAGCACCTCTTCCCCTCCCCAGCTGAAAAGAGCACTCTAGGGATGGGGTATGTGGCTAGGCCCGAAGTGCTGAGGGCCAAACAGAGGAGTGTGTGGGCAGGGCACAAGGATGGGGGGTGTGGGGCAGGCTGTGAGAAGTGAGACAACCTTGGCAGGCAGGACTCCTCAGTCTCACGAAGCCTATGGGGACCCAGCTGAGGCAGTCTTCCACTCATCCTGAGCCAGCAGTGCCAGCAGGCCCCGCCCCATCCCTTCTTGGCTTCATGCTCATGCAGCTCCCTTTAGCTCCCTGGCATCACATCCTCAGTCGCAGGCCTCCTGGCACTTTAGTCCCTTGGCCTGCCCCGGGGACACATTTCTGCTTCCCTTTCTCGTCTGCTCCCACTGGCTTTTAGACACCCCAGGCCATACGACATCACCTTCCCAGCAGATCTAATGGGCCCTAAGGGGTGCACGAGGCCCCTTTTGTGGTCCAGACCTCTAGCCTGACTAAACAGCTCTGGTCTCCCCATCCACGGACGGCGGCACAGGATCATATTCAGCGTGTCCTCTGGCAGTCTCTGGACTTTCTCCAGCAAAGGACAGGGGTGGTTGGGTCAGGGCACCCGCTACAGGGTGCAGCGAAATCTGGTTGTTCCACAATTGGGAGAGTAACCCATGGGGTTGGGGTGGGCAGGGGTGGATACTCTTTGGTAGGCTGGGGACAGGGACAGGGAGGGGTTAGGGGAGGCTCATCTCTGGAGAGCGCTGGGGCCATGCCACCAGAGTCTCCTTCATGGAGGCCTGGGCTAGGACAAGATGGGGGAGTCTGGGGACCCAGGCCAGGCCTGACCCACTTGGGCTTAAGTCCCTCCTCCCCATGGAGATCAGAAATGGAAACATCTTTGGCCCCAAGGCCAAGATCTCCAGGGCAAGAGCGGCCCTTGGGAGTATGTGCACCTTCTGTAAGATATGGCCCTTCAGACAGCGGCAGTCTCGCCATGTACCCACAGCCTTCTGTTTCGAGGCCCAACAACCCAGTGTCTGCATTCCTTCCGCAGAGGGCAGCCTTGTGTGACACTCTCTGACTCGGGGAGCTGTCCTCCAGCCTGCCTCCACAATGATCATCCACCTGCCGAAACCAGGTGGTAGCAGCCCATTCGGGGGTCTCTCTAAACCCTTGCCTAATCACTCCTCTCCCCTCCCTCTTCCCTATCTCCATGCTTCTCTCACTGCTCATTCTGTACCCCATTCCTACCCCTCGTTGTCTAGGGTGGTGGGGCACAGCTAAACTGGGGCCCCGACCTAGGACCTAGTGGTGACTGTGCGCACCCTGTCTCCCAACCTGGCACTTCCCTGTGGTGGCCCCACATGAGGCAAGGTGTGCTGGAGTGGGAGGAGGGCAATTGCACCGTCTGCCGTTGCCTGTAGGGGTATGGGCAGGAGGGAATTAAGGATCTTGGCAACAAAAGGAATGAGGAGGGGGGAAAGAGATTCTCCCCGCTGTGCCCCCCAACATTCCCTGCAGGGCCAAGGCTGGGTGAGCAGCCTCCTTCCCTGGGGTCAGGGCTCTTAGCAGGGGTGGGCATTTCCAGCCCCCACTTCCCCCCCCTTTTTTTTGTTTTTTTTGCTAAGCCCCATAGATGGGGTCCTGGGAGGGGGCACCTGCTGCTCCTGCCTTTTCCTCCCGGATGAGTTTGGCAGCTCCTTGGGCCTTCTGGCCGTTCTGTTGGAGCTGTTCTTGGGGTGGAGGTAGGCTGGGGGCGATGTGTGATCCCCCATATCCCCCCGCCCCACCTGGACCTATACCTCCCTTGGGAGGAGCCCCCTCCCCCTCCCCCTGGGGGGGCTGGAGCTGATGTCAGTGTGTGGTGGAGGTCCGTCCTCCCTCTCTGCTGTCACTCTTCCCGAGTCAGGCCCTCATCTAGGGCAGGCAGTGCCTCCAGCCCCAGGCCCCCACCACCCTGGTTGCTAGAGAAGGACACCATGGTATGGAGGAGCATGAGAACAAGGACATAGAGCCGGATCCTGCTGGGGCTGAGGCGAGAGCCTCCGGAGACCGGCAGCAGGGAGGGCTTGTGGCTGATGCGGCCCGGGGGGTCATGGTGGGGATGGTAGTGGTGGTACTGTTGGTGGTAGTGGTGGAAATAGGAGTGGTGGAATTGCTGGTGGTGGGTTTTGGGGGCCTCAGACTCCTTGAACTTCTTCTTCTCCGACTCACAGGAGACCCACTGCACGTCACAGCACTTGGTTTCCGGTCGCTTTGGCGAAGTATCCAGCAACCCTGCCAATGGATAAGGAAGGGGTGGTGGGGTGTTCGGGGGGGCTGATGGCTATGCCTGTACTACAGAGGAGCTTTTCAGAGCTAGGGCTGCTGGGGTAGCCCTGTCCAAGACTCCTTCCCCCTGTTACTCAGTACCCTTCCCTTTCTGGACACTTCTTTCCCAGGGACCCCAGCTGGTTTCGCTGGGATGACTCCCTCGCCAAGCATGTTCTGAATAGAGGTAGTTGATCTTCTCTTGGCCCTTGCTTCCTCCACCTGGCCCTATCCCAGCGTGGGGACCTCACTGCCCACTCATCTAGCCACTGGCCAACCTTTTGCTCACCCGACTTCACTGTTGTCCGCCCTGCTCCCACACCCTCAAATCCAGTGCCTGCTCTGGGCCCTTGGCCTCCCTCCTCCTCCCCTGTGCCCTGCCTTTACCTGTACAGATAAAGCCAGGGAGCCCTCCATACACCATTTCCTCATTGTCGGGAAGTATAAAGGGGCACCGGGTCTGCACCTCCAGGCAGTATTGCTTGCAGGGCACCCAGCGTTGGCATTCCTGCTGGGTCACGCTGAAGTATTCGGAGCACAGCCAGGCCTTGTAGACAGCCTGTGGGGAGAGAGGAAAGAGTGTCAGCCCAGGAGACAGCCCCTTCCCACCGAAAGGAATGGGATGAGGAGGGAGCAGCTATAGCCTATTGGCAAAGGACTCACCAACCCGACCCTGGGATCCAGGGCATAGAGAAGAAGGGTCAAGGCCAATATGTCCTACCCTGAGCTCTTCCGAGACTTCTGTCACCCACGACTTAGAATTTGTTCATTGGCAAAATCAAGAAATGAGTCCTTTGTCAAGTCTGGAGGAGGCTCACCAATCATCCCATTCAACCCTAGATTTTACAGTTGGCCCAACATGGTGTCCTGACTTGTCTGATGTCACCTATAATGAAGTAATTTCCATTCTGTTCAATTCAGCAAACATTTCTTTGGCTGATAGTATTAAGTTTCTAAATTCAAGAAAGAGATGGAGAGAATAATCTTTGCACTACCTCGTTAGGGTGCTGTGTGGATCAAATAATATGACACATAAGAAAATGTTTTTGAAACTCTAAAGTGCAATACAAATGTGAGGGGTTATTTTTACTAAAAACAAGGATCTGCCTTACCAGGCACCACATGTGCCTTCAAGCTCTGCTTAATCCATGCTCTGTCCTGCTGGCTTCAGCCGGTGTGGAACAGACACATTCCATTTGGACCCATGGCTTTGCAGTTTCATATCATGGGTATACTTCCTGTCCCCCATCAAGTACACCCCCAGCAGGCACTAGCGAGGTCCAAGCTAAGGCAGGTTCCCTGATCTAGCCCCTTGGGCTCTCATCAACCCAGGCTTTCTCAACGGTGATACCCCTGTCTGTCTAAACCACATGCTCTTTTTTAGTGGGCTTTCCTGTGCCTTGTAATGTACTGAACCTCCTCCCTGGCATCTACCCAGGAGTTTCCAATAGCATCCTCCTCCACTCCCCACCCAACTGTGAAAACCAAAAAAATACATTTGGCCATTGCCAAAGGCCTCCCGTGGGGCAAATCACCTCCCGTAGAGAACTACTGAGCTGGTTCCTTGCTCCTGAAAGTGCAGATGTGGATCAGTAGCCAACACCGTCGCCGAGGAGCTCATGGGAAAGGTAGCACTCCATGTCGGCACCTGCATTTAAACAGAATGCCCGAGCAGCTCTGAAACCTGGCCTTAGGGCCCCGTCTGCCTCTGGCCCCTACGTCTTCTCATAGTTGCTCTACACAGTGATGGTTCTCAGATGTCAGCCTACCCAAGTTCCATGGGCACCTGTTAAATATGGTGATGGTCCTCTCCAATTCAGCCTCAGGAGGTCTGAAATGGCTCTGGAATTTACATTTTGACCGATGATCCTGGGCATTCTGCTGCTGAAGGCCTTTTAACAGCGCTCTGGGCAACTTGGTCACAGCCCCTTACATTGACTTTAAACATGTCCACTAAAATACAAAACTCCACCATGAAGAAGAACTTCAGCGATGCAACACCATGATGGCCTTTTCCATAGCAGGGGTGTTGATGGTGCTGCAGATCCACTCCCGGAAGACGAAAACCCCTCATGGGAGATGCAAATTTAAATGGAGTTCTTGATTTGTTTTACTCCAGATCTGTCCTCACCCCCTACCCCAAGTCTTGGTTATTTTAATTTAGGGAAAGTCCAGCCCTCTGGGTATTCAAGTCACAAAGGAGTCAGCCCTCCGTGCTCTCTCCCCTGGAATTCCACACTGAGTCTATGAGCGAGGCATGCCAGTGCTCACTTCATTTCCTCACCTTTGAGCAGGCCGCCATTTTCTGCTTACTATCTGGACTCTCTGCTTCCACTTTCTCTTTCAAATCTACTGTCTGTTCAGAAAAATGAGCCATCTCCAAACACCTTCAGCTAACAGCATTCCCCTGCTTCAAACCCTTCAGTGGCCTTAGAATAAAATCGTTACTTTGCACCATTCACTGCAAGCCACTCCTTAGCTTGGCCATTCTGTCTCTCTGGTTTCATTCTCTCCACACAGGCGTTCTTTCTTGTCCTTGAACATGCCCTGCTTCATCTCACCTCAGGGTCTAGGCACACAAGCTGTTCTCTTAGCCCGGAATGTTTTCCCCAACTTCTGGCATGGGTAGGTCCCTCTCATTCTTCAGATCTCAGTTTAACTCAGACACACCCACATTATTCTTGTCTTAATTATTTCTTTGCCATCATTATGACTGTGTCTGCATCCTTTTTTCATCTCTGTCAACCTCACTAAAATGTGCAATGCATGAAGACGTCTCACAATGTCTTCTCGATTTGACCACTGATACTCAGCTATACTTAACATATTGAATAAACGGGATGAGAGAATAAGGACATGTCTCCAGTGTCAGGGAAATTCCAGTTTCACGGACACATCACACCTGGCTCCACAGCATCTGATCTACATTACAGAAAGGCTAAACCACTGACTGTCACTAGAGGGAAGCAAGCAAGAGAAGATTGGAAGAACTCACAGAGGGCATTCCTTGAGCTGAAATTTCAGAAGGGATGGGACTGACCAAGGGGCCTTCCAGCTGAGACTGTTGTCTCAGGTAAGCAAAGGCATGGAGGTGAGTGAATGTGCTGGGTGCTAAAAGAACACAGACAAAATTTGTCTGAATGGAGGAGAAAGGGGATGATTTCCTGTGAAGGGACATTTAAGTCATTTCCATGTTTTCATTATTATAAATAATATACCAGTGAATATCTTAGTACACATGTCTCTTACACACGTGTTAAACTGCCCTTATATAGTTGATAAGTCAAAGGATTGGGATAAAAGGAGTGAGAAGGGAGTGAAAGGAGGGTAAAAAAGCAGTGTGGGTAAGAGGCAGGTTACAAAGGAGCTGAAGGGGTAAGAGAGGGGCAAGGGAGGTCAGCGGTGGAGAGGGGGTGTGTAGGACAGACTACCGAGTTGGAGAGCACAGAATGATGGTGACAGTGGAAGTAGGAAAAAAGTGGGGGAGATGGGAGATGATGGAGGATGGAAGGGAGGTGAAGGGGTTTAATGAGCATGAGAGGTGGGTGGAGAGAGCAGGAGGGGGTTAAGAACATGGAGGACAGGAGATGGGTAAGGCAGGGTTCAGAGAGCTGAGAAGAGGAGGGCTAGGGAAGGGAGTAGAGATGAGGGTAAAGATGAGCATGATAATGAAGGTGGATGAGGAAGATGGGAGTATAAGAAAGCAGGGGTGTGAACAAGGGACAAGAAAGCAGAAGGAAGGTCAGACAAAGTAATACAAGCAAGACAGGAAAGAAAAGGAAATCCCATGAGCCAAGGGATCTGTGCCTCCATCAGAGAAACCCCCCCACCCCCATCTTTTGGCCTCCACAGCACCACGATGGCACTGTGTACACAACCTCTGCATGAATCTGTGCAGCTTGGACCCAAAGTCCACCTCAATCACCCCCAAACACTATGTGGAATTACCCCCTTCTTCAGTGGGGTCAGAGTTGACTCCTACAGGGTGCCCCCTGGGCTCTTTTAGGTCAACATTCCTGCTCTGAGGTGAGAGGCCCTGTTGGAGTTCTGCCCCTCCTCTTGGGGAACAGCAATTAGTCTTCTAACAATGGTTAGGGTGGTGGACACTCCCCATGTCTTCCTGAAATGAGAGATGAGTGGAGGGAGGGGGCAGGGGAGAAGGGTGGCTTGACAGTGGCCTTTCTCCTGAATTGGAGACCCTCCCTCAGGCCCCACACTCCTAGCCAGAGTCACCATGGCAACAAGTGGGTGAACAGATTGTCTGAAGAAGACACCAGGCCTGTGGGTGGTGAGGCAGGAACAGGCAAGGAGCTAATGAGGGGAATAGAGGAAGCAGAGCCACATGAGGCTGAGAGGTAATCCAATTCCTTGTCCCACAGATGGCCAGCTGAGGCCACTGCTGGTTCACCTGCTTCAGAGGTGGCCTAGGGTCTTTCTCAGGTGAACCCTGGGTCTGTGCTACTACCTGGGCACAAGGCACAACTGAGACTCTGCAGTCTCTTCCCTATGGCAGCATAAGTATCTCGACCTCTCTCATCAGTGTTCATTCTGAGCCATAGGGAGCCAGGGTGTCTGGCAGGCACCCAACAAGAATTGGGAAGAGCCAGGATAACCAGGGTTAGGAGTGCTGCGGAGTCTGCTGGAGCCAGGGCATGCAGGGAGAAGGAAGAAATGTCTAGAACTAGACAATGTCAAAGTCACACAGTGAGTATTTTAAAATGCTCCTGACCCACTAAGTCAGAATCCTGTAGATGGGACCCATACATCTGTAGAAAAACATTCAGGTAATTTTAATATGCAGAGGTCTATCCAGTTTAGTCCTACTGAATTAATTTATAGATGAAGAGACTGCGGCCTAGGAAAGGGGGAAAGAGTTGGCTATAATCATAAAGTAATGTCCAAGAGGAACTCAAAACCCAGTTTCTCAGCTACAACTCCAGGGTTTTTCTAGGTAAACAATTCTACCAATGACTTTTGATTCCAAAGTCAGAGAAGGCTGGCAACAAGGGTGTGACTGGGAAGGAATGCTGAAAACCAGGTCTGCTCTTGGTCTTCAGGAAATTCAGACTCCAGCCTGGGCAGAAAAGACATATCCATCACGCCCTTTCCTTTGAGTTTAATCATCCTGGACCCTCCTGGCAACCTCAGAAGATGGGAAGAGTGGGATGGGAAACCTTGACCTGGAAGTGCTTCCTTTCTTTATGGAGTCCCTTTCCCTACCTCAGTCAGGCCATTGCTGGGCTCAATCCAGTTCCGGCTGCTACAGCCCTGTTGCTATGGGAACTGGGAGGGGAAGGAAGCAGGGAATAACTAGAGGGAACACCAATTAACCCAAAAAGGAAGCTAGGAAGGCTGTCCTCCCCTCCTCCCAGCTGGGCTGCTAAGCCACTCTTAAAATGGGAGCAGGCAAGATGAAGGAGATCCCCATTCCTCCAAGGATCTGCAGCTGCCAGTTGAGGAAGGAGTGGGGAGGACCTAGGGAGCTCACCCTCCTGTTCCCTGGCCTGGAGTTCACCCTCCTGTTCCCTGGCTTGCACCACCACTTGGAGCATTCTTAGC